AGGCACACACACACAGACATAGGCATAGGTTTTTAGTCTGAAGTCATCCCTGTCTATATGCAGTACATTCATCATCTACAGTGTTAATTTTGACAGCAAATTTTGATTTAGTTTTAGTCATAGTCTTTTGACTAAAATGCCATTTAGTTTTAGTCATATTTTAGTCATCTGAATTGTTTTTAGTTTTAGTCGACTAAATATCATAAGATTTTAGTCGCCTAAATCTACAGTAAATTTAGTCGGCTACAATCTAATGAGTTTTATTACAGTGTAATGCGTTTATTAAGCATTTCTCAAAAATTTCCAAACTCATTATATAGGTTTGATATTAAGGTTTTATCATGATAGACACTGATTTAACTGTTGTGACACACAAAATGCCTTTGTTAAAATTAAATAAAACCACTTCTCACAAAGAAAAAGAACATGGTCTACCTTTTAATGAAATACCAATAGTTATATAGGCTAATTATGTCAAAACGGACAATTCGACATAATTTTGTGTGTAATTCTCCGTTCATGCAACGCGAAAGAGTACTCGCGCGCTGTGAGACGCGGTTTGTGTGTACAGTGTCTGCGCTCAGAAAACCAGACCGAACCAGATTGAACGTTTTATGCGACGTGCAGCAAATGTATTTTAGCTTATGTCCCGCCGGTTCATATGTATGCATAACCTCAGAGCCACGCAGCAGATTCGTTCTGAATGAATCTCATCCCAAATCGTCCCTCTGTAACATTTTCGTCTCGTTTTTATTCGTTGACTAAAATGTCAATAGATTTACGTCATAGTTTTTGTCATTCAAAAAGAGTTTTAGTTCGTTATCGTCGGTGAAAAAAATGTTGTTGACGACAATTATGATGAAAATTATTCGTCAACGAAATGAACACTGATCATCTAAATCTGCCATGCCTATAATCCATTTTACAGTGTTCCCTACAAAGTTGCTGATTTTACAATGCAACATGCATTTTTGCATTGTTGAAATTGATGTGTCTGCGTTAACCATGATGGTCTCTAGAAATCTACATATTTCTACAAGAAACCACTCAACTGTGTCACTGGCCTTGTCAGTGATAAACACAAAATAAGTAAAAACACTTTTTTAGGCTGATTCGAGCACAGATGAAAGCTATCAGGCCAGTATGGTACATGCTTGGCGTGGGATTGTGAGGATACAGAATAAATCAGCATTTATGATGTTTTTCTGACCAGCCTGAGACATGCTGAGGGCAGTGATATGAGAGCTGCATACGCATCAAATAATCAGATATAGGAGAGAAGGCTTCACAAAAGCTCAAAAACATTTGATGTGTTCACCAGCAGCATCAGGTCAAATAATAATGGGCTTTGACAGGCTGTGAAGAGGTAAGGAAATCTTGATTTTGATAGTGTGCCGATTGACTTGTATCTCCTGATCTCCATCCGATCCTTGGCCTCCAGCTTCAGATTTTGCTCAACAGCTATGTACAAATAGAACTCTGACATTATTTTAAGGAGACATTATGCTAGTGCTCACCTCTAGGTCATGGTTAGTCCATGTGTATGTTTGGGTTGTTGGGAATGCATGTAAACTTGATGTTATGATGTACAAAGGTGTATTAGTGCAACATATTTCTAGGCTGGGAAATTTCCATAAACATGATAAAGCAAAAGTTAGAGATTACAAATGTATAACCCGTTATATAAAATAATATTAATGTGTTATATATGAAATACTGTTCATTTAAATCAACCTCGTCAGTGGGTTGCTTGAGGACTAGGATCAGTAAGCAAGTGGGATGAACCGTAACAGCATGAGCTTTGCTTTTAACGGCCCTTAATGAAAAACAAGCATTTTGCGAAGCGTTATTAATTATTACTTTTGAGTAAACACATCTTCATGCGCTTCTACAAACAGATTGACATTACCGAGGGTTTATTTCCTGCGTAAATGCTTCCTTCCTGCTGAAGCCCAAACATTCACACATGCATGTTGATTACCTATTCAACATACTACAATAATTTATTGCCTTTTAACCGTGCTTGCAATCTGCAATAACATGCTCCACTTCCTATACCACTCATCTCTCAAAGGCTGTGGTGTGCTTGACCAGGCGTATTCACGAGTGGTGTGATTCACAGCCAACTGACTTTTAATGCTAATGCATAAGAGCTGTAATAATGTACTTTACATGCAGCAAAATATGCTGTTTTTACGGCAATGCTGTTTGCCGAGCAAGAGGCTTTATGCGTAATGGACTTTGTTTACATGGGCCTGCTGTATTGTAGACATTGGTTTATAAAGTGTTCAAAATTATACAATAGTTGGTTATGGTCCACGAATTTGATTAGCTGAAAGTGCTGATATATAGCAGTGTAACTTTGACTGTCAAGTCTGCGAATTAAGTATTGTCAGTCATTCTTTATGTAGGTTACATCGTAACACCAGTAGGTGGCGCCAATAGACTTTTTGAGCAAGTCAGTTAGCCATTCCCTGCACTGTTTTGTTCAAAACGCTAATTCATTCATGAAGAAAACACCTGTGTCATTGAATTCTTCACTGAATCGATTTCTTTAAAAATTATAATTCATTAATGTCCATCTTTATGAGTGAAGCATTGAATTGTTCACTGATTCATTCAGGAACAAAACAAGGATTGTGGCTAAAAGGGATACAGCTATGGCTGGACGTCTTGCAAAATCTTCGCTAGTTGTCTTTTTCACTGTCTGTTTAATTTTTTCCTGTCCATCCAGCGAGATTTTAAATTTCATTTCATCTTATCTTTCATCCAGCGAGATTTTGCATCACTTCCGGCCTTCTTGGCATTCTTTGGAATTATTTTCATTGACAGAACAGAAGTACTGTAAGCAATTTCTAAAATGTAAGTTTCTCAATATTAACTTATTTTTTATTGAGCTGTTATATAAAATGAACATTGTTGAACTTGAGTGATCCCTCCATGTGATCGATGCTGATTTTTCAGCAACTGTACTGTATGTATTAAAGAAACATACAATCTTCACATAACAGCAGCATGTAAAGAAGTACGCCTACACAACTCTGTCAACATGTCCATTGCGTTCTGATGGTGTTTGATGCGGTAATTGTCAGGCTGTCTGAGCAACCGATTCTCTCATTGCAAGCTCCGTCACTGTCTTCATCTTTTCGAACTGAGTGCTTTCTCAAAAGCCTTCAGAATCTGTATCTGTCGACTTGCTGTCGACCATTAAAGATGATTGATCATGGTGGAAAAATCTCCCCTCCAGCTGGTGTCTCCTAAAGAAAATTGTGACGAAATAATCTGTATGTAGTTTTTGTCAACTAGGGTGGAGTTTCTGACAAGGAACAAGAGCAAGGAAAATGGGGCTTTGTTTTTTGCCAAAGCTGTTCACACTCATTTACAACATCATTGCACAATAAATGAGTGAATGGATCAGGTCGATCATGAAATTTAGCTCGAGCTCATCCTCTCTTCTGTAACAGCGGGCTGTCTGTCATCTTTATTGCCTCTCATCTGCTTGTGTCATTAGCGTACTGAGACGGATCTCCTTTATGACATGCTGTTCATCTCTGCGCAAACCAGATCAGTGGCAGCAGCTAAAACATACATTTAGGTCACATGTATCACGACCTGTTGGCTGGGGCGTTCAATCACAGGTTCTGAAGAAGGAATGATTTGTCTTCATTTTTTCAAAGTCAACATAAACACCTTTTTGAACGCATTTAATGTCAATAATGTGACATTTTGTGTGAAATATTATTTAAGTAGATGTTTATGCAGAAAATAGTTTGTTCTTATCCTGAATATGTGACAGATCCCAAGTGGTTAACATTTTTGTTATGTTGTCATATGATTTGAAATACATATGATTTGACATATTATTAATGTCCATACTACCTGGAAAGTTATGTGCCAAAATTAATTAAATCCCCCTCCCCCCAAACCTAAGTATTATATACTGTATGTATGTATGTATCTATCTATCTAACTATAAAATGTAAGACCAGGCTAGATTTGATTGGTCGACTCGTGAAATGTAGACTGTGCTATAATTGGTCAAAGTGTTTTTCCAACGTCATCCTTGGTTACATTAGCAGAACAGATAATGCATTTCAGATATTGAAAAAGTTATTACATTTTGATGAAATATTATGAAAACCATTTTTTTTTCTTAAGAATGACATGTGTACATACTGTAAATGGGGTCAGTTTTCATTTCATGTTCTCTTTATAGTGATCTTCTTGAGAGTAGAGTACAGGAGCTCTGCATTTGTTCGTGTATTTCTGCTTACATGTTATGCAGATTTATTTATTTTTCTTATGACTGTACCTTTATGATATTTCTCTGTGATTGATAATGGGTCATGGGCTTTTAGAGGGAGGGAAACCATTTGGATTTCTGCTTCTCTGCCTACTCATGTAAGCTGTACCATCAGTCAAATGCATCCTGGGTTTACCCATGTGAAATTAAAACATCGGGAGGTGGGGACAAACAAGGGAGAGCAAAACAACACACCAAACCAAAGCTTTAAGACAAAAGACATTGATTTTATACAAATCAACAGTGGTCAGGGATATGAAGTGGTTTAGCACTTTTTTAGTATCAGTAGATAAAGGGTCATGACTCCTCCTTCCACAAGGGCTCTTTTATTTTGTTGTTGCCTATATGAATTCAGTCCTGTTTAAAAACATTAGCTTGTAAGAATAGCTCAGCACAGAATTGAAATGATAATTTCCTCATTGTGTTCCAAACCTGAATGCCTTTTTCTTCTGTGGAGCACAAAAGGAGAATTTTTAAGGAATATAATATTTTTTCCTCACTATTTTTTCCCGTTATTGGGCATAGACAGACCTTGTCACAGGCTATGAACTGTTGTTGTGCGTGACAGTTCTACTTTTGTGGTTTTGGAACAACATGATGATGAATAAATGGCAGCATTTTTATTTCAGCTGGAAAAAACCTTTAATATTGCAACAAACATTTCTGTTGTCACATCAGTGTTGTTTCTCTCTTTCAGTGGATGGCTGCATACACAGAGCCGCGGGTCATCTTCTGTATGAAGAGTGCCACTCGTTAAATGGCTGTGAAACTGGAAAAGCCAAGATCACCTGCGGCTACGACCTCCCCGCTAAATGTAAGTATTAGCATGTTGCCCTTATTTTTTTATTTTATTATGTTGCATGAAATGAAGACCACTGTATGCAGAAGCCCAGGTAACAGCAGCGCTCACAAACACCCCCTCATCGGATATCTTACCTTGCAGTTTTGTTAAACAATAAGCATGATTCTAGAGAAAAGTTAATTACCAATGTAATGAGTGAGTGTTACCATGCTTCAACTTTGTGATGTTCCTGCGGCAGAGCACCCGTTGTTTGCAGCGATGCAGTTCGAGCGCGTATGTGTGATTAATGGAGTGGTATTATTAGTGCGCTGATTATCATGATGACTTGCTGTGGTGTGCTTGGCTGGCTGAAGGGGCCATCTGTACTCCAACAAAGACATTAAGGGAACTATTAGTTTGTAATTTGATTGATATTTCATCCTTGATTTATTCCATTAGCTTATGGCATTCTCTGACTCATGTGAGTGATGATGAGCGTCACGCTGGTAGCGGCTGGAAGACTGCGTTGCTTCTAGGCGGCGTCACGGGATTTAGAATGCGAGAGGGTGTCTTGTGTCGTGCTGTCCGCCTGCTGTGGTGAAGATGTGCTTAAAACATTAACGGACTCTAATCTATGGGCTTCTCCTGAGGTGGTCTGATGTAGGTAAACAAGGTCATTGCTCTACTAAACCCCATTGGATGGTGATTTGCAGGTCTTAGCTGGTTTAGGATGGTTTAGCTAGTCTCCCAGCCTCATCAAACTTGTATTCAGGCAACTATGTGGATAGTCAGTTGGTTTAGTTGGTCAACCAGCTGGTCTCCCGGTCTTACCAGCTGGGTAGTGCTCTTAAATGATGGGGTTTACTGGTTTTAACCAATTTAGCTAGTCTCCCAGCTCAGTTAAGCTGGTTTAGTTGGCTGACCAACTTGTATCCCAGCCTCACCAGCTGACTAGTGCTCTTGAATGTAATAGTTTGCTGGTTTTAGTTAAGTTACCTTGTCTTCCAGCCTGGTTATGCTGTTTTAGTTGGTTATCCAGCTCCCAGCCTTACCAGCTGACTAGTGCTCTTGAATTATGTTGTTTGCTGGTCTTAGTTAAGTTACTTTGTCTCCCAGCCTTACCAGCTGACTAGTGCTCTTAAATGACATAGTTTTCTGGTTCTAGTTGATTTAGTTGGTCTCGCAGCCTTGTTTACCTCGTTTAGATGGTCAGCCAGCTGGTTTTCCAGCCTTACCAGCCGACTAGTGCCCAAAACTGGTCTAAAACTAGCAAAACAAACAAATCTAGCAAGCTAAGCCATGATAGGAGACCAACTAACCTCCTTAGGGTTATATTCTTGCATTCTTTTATCGCCGCTGTTTTAAAAAAAATAGTTTTTGCATGTGAACGTGCACTAGTCTGATTTCTTTAACCATTACAAATTGTAAAATTGGTTTAGGCCTACTTTTGTAGTATGTTCAATTCCTTTTTGCTTCCTCTAGCTTTCTTAAAACTGTACGATCAAACCTAAGCTTTTTTTTCTATTCTGTATTTGATTTTCCTGTCATTGAAATGCAATAGTTTTTGCATGTGAACGTGCACTAGTCTGATTTCTTTAACCATTACAAATTGTAAAATTGGTTTAGGCCTACTTTTGTAGTATGTTCAATTCCTTTTTGCTTCCTCTAGCTTTCTTAAAACTGTACGATCAAACCTACGCTTTTTTTTCTATTCTGTATTTGATTTTCCTGTCATTGAAATGCGGAGCAGCTCAAGTATCTTGCAAACATTGTTACATGTTTTGTGTTCTGCTACCTGTCTTTTCTAACAAGAACCTGATATTTACTAAATGAGAAGCTCTGTGGCTTTCTCGACTGTCCTTGATTTAATGTTATGTCACTTCTGAGCTGAAACAATTGAATTGGATGTAACCGCATCCAGCAACCTTGAAGCAATCTTTCAGACAGTGATGCCTGAGCTAAAGCTTTTTATAGGCGTATTGAATCCTCTATGGCTGGATGATGTGATTCATTAGTGGAAAGGCAGAATCTCGGCGAGAGGAACATACTGTATGTCTCCTCTTCAGCCCTAAGGAGATTCATCAGCCCTAAAAACATCAAACGAGTAAGCTGCATTTTGTCTCTTTCTGCATCAGCATCATGTCACTTCATTATTTCTCTGTCAAAGCCGACATCTACTGGAAGTCTTCGAGCTTTCCCTCGCTTCTCTCTTTCTCCCTCCCTCTCTCTCTCTCTCTCTCTCTCTGTATACTCTACCCATCGTTTGGTTTTCTTGTGTTGAGCATTTACTCTTCTGTGACTAATTTCCACCCACACACCCATTCTGAGACTGTCTGTGTTTTTATTTTATTTATTTTCTTTTTATCATGTCAGAATATGTTGTTGAGCGCCTTCATTCAATGAAAGTCTATTTCACTGCTTTGTTTGTAGTTTATAGAAATCATGCTTTACAAATAAGTCACGCTGTGTCGCCAAGTGAAGTTGTTACCAGATTAGCATAATTAATTGTATGCTAGTGGTACTCAGCTGGTTTTGCTCCAGGACAAAGATTTTATATTGGACGTCAAGTGGTGACCCAACACAGTACCAAACTTGTTTAGTGCTCAAAAGAAACAAAAATGTCCCTAGAATCAATTATGAGCCATTTTTTAAATACCAAAACAGGCCCAGGAAAATCAGCTAAAATTTACTAAATTGACTAGGCTACATTTTTATAAAATTATTAGAACATTAGAAGACACTCTGGGCTCAATATTTTATTAATATTAAATGACATCTACAGTTGCAGTAAAATACTGATGTTTAGCTTTTGATGTCAAAATGAGAAGTCAGTCACTGTAAATGTGTCAAACCAGAGCCAAAAACAGAAAATAACAAGGACCATTGCCTATTTGGGTTGAAAATCTTTAGGTTCCTCATGATTTGATTCTGTTTTGATTCCGTGAGCCTGAATCTGATTGTAAAATGATTCTTGATGCTTCTCAGGTTTTTAGCAACAGTGATTACGGTACGTCTTTGACTTTCTGTAATGTTGCACACCATCTTTGTATTCGTAATATTTTATCTGGTTAATCATTTCAAGAAACAGATTTAATAATAATTTCATGAATTTGTGGATCATTAATCATTTGAGAGAATCGCAATGCATTGATGAACCGATTCTTCTAATCCCTATGCTTCAGATGAGTTGACTTAATGCATTCAAGTCTTGAAAAACAGCTTCATTATGGCATGGTCTTCACGGTAGCGGAGGAAGGAAGCTCACCACTCACCACTCACCACAAACAACACTGCATAGACAAAACAGGCTGGGACAGTTGCCATGGTTATATTTGCAACTTGCATCACATTATAATGCATCTTTATCATCTCTGAGGCTCGTTCCGATTGGACACACAAGCTCTCTTAGCATCACTAACTTGTATGTTTGCGTTCCATCAGCATCTGCTGCGAAATGGTTTACTCTGCTGCACCACAGAGACAACCAGGGAGAGCGGGATGCAAATGGCACAGATGGTCCTTTTACCTTTTATATCTTGGCATAGTCAAATATTGCCAGCATGGGCTTTTTATGCTTCCATAATTTGCCAGAACACGAGCGCCTTTTCCCTCCAATCTGCTCTCCGAAAGTGTTTCCCTCTCTTCTACCTCGACCTTTTCTGGAGTCTTACCTGCGGGCTTCTCTCTTCCCTCTGGAATTGACGAGAACAGAGATTTTACAGTGTGCAAGGCCACTTTATCTCGCTCTTTCCCTTTTCTTTGCTTCCTTCCTGCATTCCTTCCTCTAGTTTCAGTTGACCTGAGACTGCCTCATAGACCGAGGCGCTAAAGTCTTTGGTGATGTGGAGCAGACGCCACCGAAGAAACTCATCCTAGTTTATTAGCATCTTTTTGCTATTATTTTTGCTCTTGCATAAACAAGCATGTAGCCCATGACAGGTCTCACCAATAAGATATATATTTCTTTTTTTCTGCTGGCCTGGTGAAATGGTTACTTTTACTGACAACATTTTTACAGGTCCCACTATATATATATATATATTAGTGCTGTCAAACGATTAATCGCGATTAATTGCATCTGAAATAAAAGTTTTTGTTTACATAATATATGTGTGTGTTCTGTGTATATTTATTATGTGTATATATAAAGACACGCACATACAGCATATATTTTGAAAATATTTACATGTATTATCACGCATCATTACTCCAGTCGTCAGTGTCACATGATCCTTCAAAAATCATTCTAATATGCTGATTTATTATCAATGTTGGAAACAGTTGTGCTGCTTCATGTTTTTTGGAACCTGTGATACTTTTTTCAGGATTCTTTTATGAAAAAAACAAAAAACAGCATTTATTCGAAATGGAAATCTTGTGTTACAATATACACTACTGTTCAAAAGTTTGGAGTCAGTAATTTTTTTTATTTTTTTGAAAGGAATGAATACTTTTATTCAGCAAAGATGTGTTAAATGGATAAAAAGTGATAAAGACTCATATTGTTAGAAAAGATTTTAAATTTAAATAAATGCTGTTCTTTTTAGCTTTTTATTCATAAAAGAATCCAGAAAAAAGTATCACAGTTTCCAAAAAAAAACCATGAAGCAGCACAACACTTTCCAGCACTGATAATAAATCAGCATATTAGAAAGATTTCTGAAGGATCATGTGACACTGAAGACTGCAGTAATGGCTGATAAAAGACATAATTTATCTTTATTCCACACCTCTCTGTCCCATCTCCACTGAACGCGCTATTCATTTCCTGCTTTTATGAAGCCCCTCCCTCAGAAATACACAATGGGCTCTGATTGGTTAGGTAGCCCAGTGGCTCATTCCTCAAAGGCATCAGCGCTGGCCTGCGTCCCTGCTACAATCTGTCAAGGTCACCGGATGGCAAATTATATTGCCTTAGCTAATGTCGAAATTAAACGCAAAAGAGAGGGGAGGAAAAACAAAGCCTAAGGGATAAAATGCTTCCTTGTGTTTGGACAGAGACTCTGAGCGCCAAGAAGAAACAACCCACTATC